GAAAATTGGTTTTCTTTAATGATTCAGGGACTTGGAAAGAAGGAACAGGTCGATTTCATCATTAAAACGTAACCATCCAATAATATTTGAACACATCAGAATTTAGGAATGTTGTTTTGTAAGTGAACATCAACCATGTATAATATGGTTTAATAACCGATTGTAAAGCACTATACTAAAACAGTGATTTCCCCTTTTTAAAATGACAGGAGAAAGTGATATTTATTGAATTCAAAACTTTAGGGCATAAAATATTCCTTTTACTTAAATATCTCCCCTGCTATCTCTTTGGCAGTTTACAATAAAATAAAATAAAAATAAAAAGCTTGAATTTAAGCTAATATTAAAGTCTCAAATTTTGAAATAAGTAAATGTTAAAAAAAAATGGAGGATATATGCAAAACTATAGTATCCTTGAAGAATAGCAACTGGTTGAATCTCTATGAGTTTCAGATGAAGATACCTGGTAGCACACTCTGCCATCTGTTTGATATGAAATGATATGGTAATTTTAGAAGCAACCTTTAAGTTACAGAGTTCATACCTCACTGGCAATTTCTCTAGAAGATTTCGCATGCTTGAATGAAAGAGCATCCACTTTATAATCATAACCTTTTGCTTTGGCTTCATCCCAGGCTCCAGTATAATGTTTCTGCAATTAAAATATATGCACAAATTTCAATATAGTCAAAAATATTGAATGAATTACAGGGGACTACAGATATTTCTTAAAAGAACATTCTTATGCATACCTAGTCAGAAATAAGACAATGGACAAAAGATTATGGAAATCTGTGCCTTCTTAGAATGCAATTAATTAATTTGATCTGAACCACATGAAGAACTTTTCCAGCATCCAACAACTAATTCCAGTGTAGCATGCTGTTGTATCCAAAACAGTCATTGCCCAACTGATGATACCAATGGTTGTGCCAATTTATTTTTTACCCTCCTAAGAGATATCTCCATTTCAATTATGTTACAAAAAATAATAACTTACTCTTCCATCACAGATGTACCCATGTCATATAAACTGAATGTAAAAACAATAAAACTATTAATTCATTTATTCTAGTTGATTTTGTAATTGACCATCGCTGGCCTGAATTACAGATATAAAATGTCATTGTTTTTGTAATTTCAACAAATAAGACAATAATTTTCCTTATTTCTTTCTTGATTCCCAAAAGATAAGATTAGTGAATTTCAAGGAATATTTAAAGAGATCCAAAAGTGCATTCAATTTAACCTTAGCTGCTATAAATACTTGGTATGAACCCTCTCTGATTTCTCTCTAATCATCTCTATGAAAACTTTGTATATGGATCTCCTTTTTCTTCAGTCATTTGTTTCCTGTTTTGCTATACTTTGGCCACCTAATGAGAAGGAAGGACTCGATGGAGAAGAGCCTAATGCTGGGAAAGATTGAGGGCAATAAAAGAAGGGGGCGACAGAAAATGAGGTGGCTGGATGGAGTCATTGAAGCAGGAAGCATGAGCTTAAATGGATTCCAGAAGATGGTAGAGGATAGGGAGGCCTGGAGGAATGTTGTCCATGAGTCGTGATGGGTCAGACACCACTTCACAACTAATGACAACAAATTTTATTTTTATGGTGTTCTTTTCTTCTATATAATTATGCACATGTTTGAGCATGTGCATGTATATGTGTTTATATCTATATTTTGTTGTTATTGCAGTGATTTGTATTTTATTTAAAACTATTTTTAAATTATCATACTACATGGCCCATTTGCATTTTATTTAAAACTATTGTTTTAGATCATACTACATGATATGGCAAATAAATTAATACTAGGACAAGTTTATAATCCTATACATGCTTCTTTGGCTCCTGAGACTGAAGTATCCGTTTAATTGTTCTTAAAATAAAAATTTAGAATAGACATACAACTTATAACTCAAATACCTTTATATTTTTAAGAACAATTAACAGTAGGGTAATATATTTAGGACAATGTAATAAAGGAATATTGACATTCTTAACAGAATTTATACAATTAGTTAATTATCTTACATGGCTAACATTCACAGCATTCATCTTGGAGAGCAGTATTTCAGGAGTATCGAGAGGAATATTAATCTGTGCCTTCTCATTATCCCATGCTTCACGATACAGGTGCTGAGAAAGGGAAGAAGGAAAGACAATTTTAATTGGTTTGTGAAAATCCCTTTAATTTTTCAAAGGTCACTATATCTCAACTACGTCCTCTTATCATTTTACATATAACGCAGGGGTAGTGACTACATTCAGTTTACCTCACTAATCTGTTGAGCGTTAGTCTTAGCCAGGATAACTGGAGGTGGATCAGGTATACTGGTAAATTTCAGTGCATCTGGGCGTTGTTTGTACAACCTCTCATTCACGAGATCTTGAGCCCTTTTCACTCTGACCACATCCACAGAGCCTTCCGGCATCCAGCCAATCCCACGGAGCCATTCCAGATCTGACTTGTAAAGATTCTACAAAGAAACCCATCAATCTATTAGGATGCTACTTCCACTTACTAAAAACAGCACTGAGGCTTCTCTACTCAAAATTATTGTATAATTGCTCTTATCTCAACAAGAGCCATTTAATTGACATAAATGTCGTGTCATATATGTATTTATTTAGTTTTTAATTATTGAAGATTTATACAATCCTCATACTAGCTGGTGAGGATATTGAAAAATGAATTCCTCTTGATCCTCTTCCTAAGCCACATAGTTTTTACAAGAGTCAATTACAGAAAATTGTACTTTCTATAACATAACTCTGCTTATGATAACCCTATTCACTACAGAGCAGCAAAGATACATCACAGGTTTACCTATTTTTTAATACCAAAATGTGATTAAAATTTAAAACAAATGGTCAATAGACAAGAATAAAGAAACAAATTATAATTATATGTAAATGATTCTCTATATATGGATAGCCAGCTCTGTTCTATTTTGCAGTCAATCACAAATGGAATTTGATTTTTTTTTAATGGTGGTGATGATGGCTACATATTACCAAGAATGTATGCAGTAGGGCTTGGATGCAACTGTAGATAATAATAATAATTCACCAAATAAGGCATGAGACAAAATAAGCAAAGAGGCAAAAATTATCATGCAAGATGTAGTAACTTTCTACTCACATCGCTCTGTAGGTCATAGGCTTTCTTGGCTTGGATGACATCATTCTGATCAGGCAAACATATCCATTCATGGAGATAGCGGCGATAATCAATGTCACTAACCAGTTTCTGGCATTTCTTGGCCAACAAGATGGACAGCATGTCCACTGGGCTATTAAACTTGGTTTTAAACTTCTCAAAATATTTCTTGTACTCCCTCTCACTCTGCAGTTTAGCTACATGCATTGCCAACACTAATTTGGGATCATCATGAATATCTCGGCATCCAATATGGTGTCCCACTTGTTTACGGTAACCTTCTTTGTACTTGTACTAATGATGAAATAAAAACAAAACATCAATTTTATAAATTACACATAATCTATTACTAAAATTAAATTTCAACTCTTCAGCATGATATGCTGCACTGCACCCTCTTTTTATATAGTTATGATCTTCCAATAGCCAATACTCAATACATGACCTGTAAGCAATTAAACTGATAGATATGGTTTGTTGCCAGGATTCTATATGATCCTTTTGGACATATTTATAAAAAATATGGACACAATATTAAATATTTATTTTACAGAAGATGAAATAAGTGTAGAAATGCCAAAGAATAGCAGACCCTACCTCACTAGCAATATTCCTAGAAGCCTTGGCATGTTGGATTTCAATAGCATCCAATCTTAAGTCATGGCCTTTCTTCTTCAACTCCTCCAATCCAAGTTGATATTGTTTCTGTGAGGGGAAAATAAATAATGCATATTCCATTTCAAGGCATGTCATATTTATAAAAATATGTAACATTTCATATCATAGTACAGGGGTGTCAAACTTGATTTCATTGAGGGCTGCATCAGGGTTGTGTTTGATCTCAGGGGACTAGGATGGGTGTGGCTAGGGTGGGTAAAGCCAGCTTGAGTCACTCATGTTGGGGTGCCTGTGATGGCCCAAGACCTCTGACAGTGAAAATGGCTCCTGAGCTCCATTTTTGGCTGTGACGGCCTCCTGCAACCCTCTGCCAGTGAAAATGGAGCTCAGGAGGGCTGCAAGGGCTGTTCCTTCACTCTTTCCAGGTCAGCCCTGTGGGCCAGATCTAAGCATCCTGTGGGCCATATCCAGCTCTTGGGCCTTGAGTTTGACATCCCTGTCATAGTATATTAAGATCTTTGGACTGCAAACAATGATAAATTTATGGGATTGTTATGATAGGGAAAAGCTTTTTGTGTTACTCTTAAAAATTGCTTACAAAGGTACTCTCACATTATCAAATTTGTATTTATATAATTGTAACTATGGAGAGTGTCATAAACTGTCAAAGAAAAAGATTTATCCTCAGAAGAGGAAGAAGCATAAGGAGAGATAATGGAAACATTAATATTTAATTCTTTAATTTCTTACTTTACTGTAGTTCACAGAATTTGCTTTGGACAGAACGATCTCAGGAATGTCAAGTGGAAGGGTGTACTGTGTTTTTTCTTTATCCCAAACTTCACGATATAAAGCCTGAAGGGAGAAAAACATATTTTTTATCATAGAGTAATGACAACATATCATACTATTGTAGGATATATTTCATTGACAAAAATATCCTCATTTGAAGTTGGACACATTGACATTCAAATTGTTTTACAATTAGGGTTGCACGCAACTATTTGGCTTCAAGACCAAAGTAAGCTCTGCAAAAGAATTGATATTTCATGGGAAGGTAGATCAGGAAGCAATGGGTCCAAATTAAGAGGCCTGGGTAATGCTACACTGGAAGTGAGCAATCAATTTGGCTTCATCTTACCTGCAATAAAATTCCCTATCTAGCTAAACAATATCTATGAAATATCTGCAGAGTTCTGTCTGAGAAAACAATACATATATCACAAGCTTAGCTGTGTGATATATTTATTGCCAAGTCCTGGTCAAGAAAGCCTTCTAAAACTATCAGTAATTGAGTGGAATTTAGGTAGACTTAAAAATCTCCAAATCTGAAGCAAAAGATAAATCCCTTGTAAGTCCATTATTTTAAACCATGGGAAAAGATCCCATACAGGTAGTGCTCGATTTATGACCAGCACTTGGCAGGCACATTTATGATCCTTTGCAGTATCCTGTAGTCATTTTATGATTGTAAACTGGCATTTACTTCCATTTTTTTTTTTTTGGCAAAACCAAACCCATAGAGAATCACTGGTTCACTTAACAACTGTGTTAAGATGATATTTATGACCATCACAATTGTAATGGACAGGTCCTATTATGGTCATAACTCAAACACTACTACTGTGTGCATCTTAGCTTCTATTCCCATTGTCTAAGAATTAAGCCTTCACTTAGATTAAAATTGACTCAGTTTCTTCAGTGTGAGAAGTTCTAAAGACAATATATCTACAGACAGTATGGAAGATGGGTTGTGGGTATATAGAAAATCAGAACAGTGATTTTAATTTTAGAAATTATAATTTTAAAAAATCTTAATGTTTGCTTTTTCATACATTTTTTCTACCATGCTGAAATGAGAATGCATGGAAAATATAAGTCTTATAGTTTTATAAAAAAAACAAAAGGAAACCTCAAAATCTGTCTTCTAAAAGAAAATGTGTAAAGTTTCCCTTCCTTTGAAATCCCTAACCTTCCTAAACTATTTTCCATTTAATGTTTAAAGAGATAAAGCTGGGGCAAGTTGGTAGTTAACTGTTCAGATTTTCTTTTTTTTTTACAAAATAAAGCTTTTTCTGTTTTCAATGACAATATTTTTCACGGGGGATACCAATCCTTCTACATCCATCTAGCAAAGTATCAGTCGACAAAATTGCAGCTTTTGCACTTTTTTCGAGTTCTCACTGACCTCATAGAAATGTATCTCACGTCAATCAATGCTGATTTTAAATAGAAACATGTGGCCCCCAGTAATTGGTGCATGACAAATACTGCTCACCCCACTCTGCATCAAAGCATTGGCCTTAGCCAAGACAACGTCCGGGGAATCAACAATAGCTGTGAATTTCAGAGAATCTGGCCGCTGCCGGTATAGCCTTTCACGCATCAGATCCTGAGCATTCTTCACTCGTTGGATTTCCACAGAGCCTTCTGGCATCCAGCCAATTCCACGCAGCCATTCCAAGTCTGCCTTATACACATTCTGTAAAAAAACAGAACCAAGCATTTCCTAGGTGGAACAGAAGTTCTGGGCTAATCCAAGTAATGTAAGTTCATCGGGGTAATGAATGCCTTGATCAACCTCTCCAACTTCTTTTCCAGTAAAGATATTCATAATTATTTAATCAGAAATCATTCCCATGGAAATAAAGGGCAACTTCCATAATAAAAATAAACATTGACAAAATTACTATCAATTACAAAAGGCTGGATTACTTGAAACAGCCTATATCCTTAGCATCATCAAACAGCAGAATTTACCTATCCCAGGTCTTTAGGAAAGACTTGATAGATGTATAAAAATGTTAAATTCAGTCTAAACATCTGGCTGGCTGTATGACCAACCATCATAAAACATTTGCTTATCCCAAGTCCCTGGAAAGAGATTGACAGGTGGACAAAAATACTAAATCCAAGATAAACATCTGGCTGACTATGCAACCAGCATAATATATATGCTGCCTGAATCCCACCAACTATGGACAGTCTACTGTATGCTACTGAAACATTTGGAAGCAGATTCTACTACAACGGGACAGGTGACATATTAATCCAGCAATGCAAAAGTAGCACATAATTTTTAAAAAGCCCCATGGGGCTTAAAAGAGAACCAAGATTGCCACCTTAGTGTGGTAGTTTAAGGCACCAGGCTAGAAACTGGGAAACCATCCGTTCTAGTTCTTGTACTTGAGCACAAAGCCAGTTGTGAGACCTTGGCCCAGTTCTTAGGAAGGGAACAAGAGCAAATCACTCTCAAAAAGCCTTGCAAAGAAAACTGTAGGTCGCCTAATCCAGGAGTTAAAAATTGACAGATGTGCACACACAAACACACATACATACATGATTTACTTCCAAACAAATTCATATATTTGCAAATAACAGTACAATGAGTTTAATGTAGCTTATCCCAGAGTTGGGGAAAAATTCAGGGATGGGCTTCAAAAATTTTAGCAAAGAGTTCTCTGCCTGGTTGCTGGGTGGGCATGCCCATGGTGGGTGTAGCCTAGTCGGCCTCCTGCACCATGCGGGGGTGCTTTTGCCCTCCCTGGGCTCTGGAAGCTTTCCTCGAGCCTCCGGGAGGGTGAAAACAGCCTCCCCGGGCTCCAGAGGCTCCCTGGAAGCTGGAAACGGGCCCATTTCCGGCCTTCCCAAACTTCCAAGGAGGCCTGTTTTTTCACCCTCCCTGAGCTTCCGCGCATGCCCTGCACTTACCTGCATCCAAAACAGGCCGTGTGGGGACTCCTGGGAGGGGTGGAGCAGGATGGGTGAGGCCAGCCAGGAATGGGATTTGGGGGTTTTCCAAACTGCACAGAATCTTAGCTAGGGGCACTCCTGAACCCCTGCAAACCCTCAGCAGCTCACTCCTGGATAAATTGTATTCAGGGATTTTCTATGAGAAATTTCTCCATCTTGTTCAAAGTTGTACTATTACCCATTTTGTCAGCTGCTCTCCATTCTCAGGAAGGAATTTATTTGGGAACTTTTTGCATGCCTTTCACAGGTTCTTTCACTAAACACTAGTCTTACTCAGACATATGCATCTTACATTTGAACTATACGTACATCGCTCTGGAGGTCATATGCTTTCCTTGCTTGAATAACATCATTCTGGTCTGGCAGGCACATCCATTCATGCAAATGTTTGCGATAGTCCACTTCACTAACCAACTTCTGACAATTCTTAGCATCTAAGATTGATAGCATGTCAGGGGGACAATGGATGTTTGCTTTACACTGTTCAAAGTTCTTCTTGTACTCCAGATCACTCAGAATCTTGCCTGCATGGGCAAACCATACCAGCTTGGGATCATCTTCCATTCTTTGAACCCCAACATAATGCCCTTTTTGCTTTTCATGCGCTTCTTTGTATTTATACTGTAACAGAAAACAATACATTTTGAAATGAATTTTAAAAATGCTACTAGGGAAGCTAACAACAATTCAGCTACTAAAGTGATAAAAATCAAGAGAAGGGAAATTTGGATTCAAATTTCTTCAAAATATCATATTGAGTCAACTGTTGACTAACATTTTTGTGACATTTGAATATCACTGTAAAATATAATAAAAATCTGTTTGTACCATGGTATCAGAAGAAGGTTTCTTAATCAGTGGTGGGATTCAATTTTTTTTTACTACTGGTTCTGTGGAAGTGGCTTGGTGTGTGTGGCAGAGGAAGGATACTGTAAAATCTCCAGTCAGAGGTTGTATTTTTCGGTTTTCCAAACTACCCAAAATTTCCACTACTGGTTCTCCAGAACTGAATACCACCTCTGCTCTTAATATACTTTTTTCTACAATGGTTTTTGATTGAGAGTGAAAAAAACCCAGTATTTGCCTAACACACAAAATGATTCCAATGACAAAAATCAAATAGGGAAAGTAGATTTCTTCATCTTCCAGACTTCTTTTTATTTACCAGAAGGGAACCTAAAATGAGCATTTAAAGCATTCAGCTAAGAAACCCTGCTGTCTAAGCACAGTTCTTATTATGAAAAATTTATTCCATGTTATTTGACCTGGGACAAATAATGCATCCTAATCAGGGGTAGGATTCTACCAGTTCGCACCTATTTGCTAGAACCGGTTGTTAACATTCTAAGCAGTTCAGAGAACTGGTTGTTAGAAGAAATTACTGGCCTAATCCTGTAAGGAAGGCAGGAAGGAAACATTCTGGTGTTGCTTACAGAAATTGCCTCTCCATTAACCCTTATTACATTCTTGGCAGGACTAGACTTCCTGTCTCAGGATCGACTCTGGAGTTTTTTCCCTCTTTTGCTGGTACTTTGCTTGTGTGGGGTGACCATTCAAAGTTACAATTGCACTGAAAAAAGTGACTTTTTCACACTTACAACTGTTGCAGCATCCCCACAGTCATGAGAGGCCAGGCAAGGAGATGCATGCCTCAATGTGACTGATATTGGGTTGGCCATGCCCAGCCAATAACATGACCACCAAGCCACACCCACCAACTAAGGAATGCCCACAGAACTGGTTGTTAAAAAAAATTGAATCCCACCCATGATCCTAATGCCAAAAATCAATAGATGTTATTTTAAATTAATCTCCCTATGTTCTTGCCATCTATAGCCCTAATGGCTATAGATCTAACCTTGTTATATATCATTCTGGGTCATTCTAATGAACTTTTCTAAAAATCTGTTCCATTAATATCTTCTGTCTGTTCCATTATTTTTTATTTTTGTGGTTTCATTTTTTAAAAAAATGTGGGGAAGTTACTGGACAGGAAAGCATCTGCTCACATCACTAGCAATATCCCTCGAAGCTTTTGCTGCTTTAATTGGAATAGCATCGGTTCTCAGGTCGTAACCTTTCTTCTTAGTATCTTCCCATCCTTGGACATAAAGTTTCTGTAGAAGATGTGATAAAAGGATATCTGACTGTAAAACCACTTATAGCATCTATAATTTAAAATCAATTTGTTCATATAGTCATATTAGTTTTTGTAAAGTGAAAACAACCCCACCCCCAATTATTAAATATTCAAACAATGTTAACATTCTCTTACATGGCTGATATTTGCAGCATTTGCCTTGGCCAGCAGAATTTCTGGGGTATCTGGAATGACATTGATTTTGATTTTATCAGCATCCCATGCTTCAGTGTATAATTTCTGCAAAGGAATAAGGAAAAAATATTTGATTTTTGCCTACAGAAAATACAATTCAAAACAGAATGTGAGATTATAACATTAGACAAATTCATATTCATTAAAACTGTTTTCTAAAATTTGTAATGAAACTCAATGAGGGAAATTTCTATTTTAATGAACTATGCTCCAAAGTCATATGTACCATATGGTAAACTATATTTTACGGACATTATCAACACATTTTTTCTAGTTCAGATTTTCTGGCTGAACTTGTTTAAAAGAACTCTTGTGTTCAAGATCCAAGAACTCAATTTTATCAGGGAAAGTCAACAAAGAGTATCTGAATTCTCCAGTTTTCTAAAAAAATTTTTTAAAAAAATTCACTTTGAGTCTGAGGCAAAGCTCTTGTGCTCAAAAACTTAGAAAAAAGGCAGATAGATTTCCAATACATCAAAGCAGCATCCCAATCAAAACATGACTTTGTAAGATACTTTGATTCATATGCTAAATATTGCCACAGAGGTTTTGAGAAATTAGTGGGTTTTGTGGTTCATTCCATGTACAATTCTATGATTTCAGCTCATTTTTCATGGGGCAGCAATCTTTGTCTTTACATTCCTATGCCCATGCTGCTATTTTTTCCTCTTAGCTGCGATATTCTGCACTATTAGTTTTTTCAATACAGTCAATGGTCACACTGGCTGGAAATTAAGAGAGCTGCAATCTGACTAGTTTGAAAGTCCTATTTCTCAACTAACAAAGTAGTTCATTGATTCAAGCAGAAAGTAGGAAGACATCAGTGAAGGATGATTTTATTCGGATTTTGGCTCCGAGCAGCCTAAATAAATCCTAAATTTAGCATGTGATCATTCATTTTTTAAGCATTGTCTGTTATGGAAGATTAGCTACTTTAGTCAGAAAACCTACCTTGCTCATTATCTCAGCATTATGCTTTGCTAATTCTACATCTAAAGCATCTGTGATACAGGTAAATTTCATTTGATGAGGAGGTTGCCGATACTTGTTTTCACTTAGGATTTCTCCAGCTCTCTTGACATGTTCAACATTCAGTGAACCAAGAGGCACCCAGCCAATGCCTTTCAGCCATTCTAGATCTGACTTGTAAAGAGACTGGAACATAAATAGCAATAAACAGTATTTAGAGAAGTCAACAAACATGCATTATAACAACTTTGGGGGGAAAAGTTACTGGCTAATTGACTTATGAATTTGATTTTGAAAACTTCAGGTGAAAATTGATCTATGAGGCTGAAATTCACTAAAAGTGACTCAATTGATTTTCAGCAACTTTACATGTTATAAATAAGCATCATGATATGCATATTTAAGGAATAATGATGACAGCCAAAACCATATTAAGTGTAATGCTGCAGTTAGCTATCCATTTAGGACAAATTTAATGAATACACATTTTAAAAAATCAAATAATAATGTTGAGCAACAGAATCTCAACTCATCTTTAATATGTTTATTAATTTTATTTTCAATCCAAAGTAAAATCCAAAACCTAGTCATACTTTAAAACTATATAAAACAGCTACTCTGGTGTGAAGTTACATATGAAAAACCTGAACAACGCATATAATGTGCAAAAATAAAATAAAAAAAATCCTTGCAAAAAACTATTATTAGGCATAAAATATTCTCTTATATTATACATAGAACCAATATAAATTTTAGTCCAAACTTATTTTTTAAAACACCGAAGTGAATGTGATAACAGTACAAATGAAAATTAAGAAACCATGAGAATGTGAAAGTGATACATCTGTGAACTACTAGTGAGAAATAATCATAAATTAAACATCTAATAAGATGGGAAAGGGGAAAAAATTGCAAAGTCTATTTTACTTCTGATTTTCTGGGAGAAAAATACTGTCTAAATTGAAATGGTATGAATAGATATTTAGACTGTGATACACAAGTCATTAGAGTGGGTAGTTTAAAGAGGAAAACTTCCTCAGTATTTAAATATATCTGTCAGCTGACAGAATGTTCTTCCTAAAATGGACACAGGGCAAGTCTTTCCCACACGTAAGCATTCTTTATTCCACATCAGTCTATTTCAGACATTCGAGAAATCATGTGGAACTGTAAGGCAGAATTGTTGGGAGAAAAGGAAAGCTTCAAATATTTTCCCGCTCTATCCTGCACACATTTAATGAATCACAGACCAATCTCAATAGAAGAATACCAATGCATCTATTTTACATTTTCCACCTCATACTTACATCACTTTGCAGATCATAAGCCTTCCTAGCTTGGATGACATCATTCTGATCTGGCAGACATGTCCATTGATGTAGGTAATTACGATAATCAATATCGCTGACCAATTTCTGGCAATTCTTGGCCCCCAAAATTGACAGCATATCCACAGGACTGGTATATTTGGTCTTCAGTTTCTCAAAGACTTTCTTATATTCCCTCTCACTTTGCATCTTGGCTACATTTATAGAATGCAAAATTTTAGGATCATCTTCCACACTGCGAGCTCCAATGTGATGACCCAGTTGCTTGCGATAACCTTCTTTGTATTTGTACTAAAATATACACAAATATTTGAGTTGCCAACACAGAAAAGTACTTATTCTGTAATTGTTCAGTAATTCAAAAGGAAATCTTAGATCATCATTTTAAAAGTGATTAACATAAATATTTTCTTTGAACTTATAACAAAATATTAGGAAAAAACTCATCCAATTTTATGTCATAGTTAAAGACTATATTAAATATAGTCCTTTAAATGGGATTTTTAATCTCCATTATCTGTTTTTTCAAAATGCCCCCTTCTGTTTTTGAAGTCAATATACTAGATTACATTTATAAACAAGATTTCATATTTGGAGTTTTTGGGTTATCTTATGATAGCAACATCTCTCCATACATCATCCTTAGTGAAGCATGCAAACCAGTGTCTGCATTTCCTGCATCAGATGAGGAGAGCACATCTTTCTCCTTCTGTCCTGGCCACTTTTTACACAGGCACAATTGAGAGCGTTTTAACAAACTGCATCACTGTTTGGTTTGGCGGGTGCAGAGACAAAGTCCATTCAGAGAATGGTAAGGACAACCGAGATTATGGGAAGGTGGCTTCCTGTCATTCAGGATACTGCTTATAAGTGCTATGTGCTTAGAGCTCAAAGCATTGTTAGAGACCCCACACACCCACTTCACGGTCTGTTTCTGTTGCTCCCCTCTGGGAGGAGGTTTCGAAGTGTTTCTAGCAGGACTATCAGACTCTGTAACAGCTTTCTTCCCTATGCCTTCCATATGGTAAACTTGCAAGATTCATTTTTCTTGCCATGTACATGTATACTTCCAAACTAGACTGTGTTGTTTCTCTGTGTCATATAATATATGTCGGTATATGCATAATTTTGTATTTATTTATTCATTTATTCATTTAGTTGTGTTTATGTAGCATATATTGGAGGTGCACCTATGCAATGAAATTTCACTTTAATGATGCTGATTAGTGTACAATTCAAAGTGACAATAAGTCTAAGTCTATCTATTAATGATTTTCCTTATCAAATTTGAAATTTGCATTTGGCATGTAAAATCTTTTTCTAGCTATAGTTAACTGAATTCATAGGTTTAAAACAACATTAGATAATTCAAGAATTTAGTTCTGCCATGTGGAATATTAAAATTTTCCTCTTCCACACAAATTAAAATGTGCAGATAAATGTCCACAAAATTAAAAGGCTTTTTCATTCTGTGCCATTGAAGCAATGCTTATATGACGTAGAAATTCAGATATACCTGGATTTGAAAATCTATCCTACAGTAATTCTTTTAAATTTATTGTCTAGATTTACAGCTGCCCATATATCAAATTATTATCTATCTCTCTTCCCAAGTTTATTCTCAGTTTCCTATACAACAGCTGATATTTTTCTGGCATAATTTTGCAAAACTTGCTTACTCATAGAATATATTTATTTATTACACGCTATTTTATTCTGCTTCAGTTTCATTTTGACTCAAAGCAACATACAAACAGTGACATAATTCCTCAGTGCAACTAAGAAAGAATTACAACTGTTCATTCTGATTTTGTAATTCACAGTATGAATTCCTTCCCATAAATTCTCAGACAGATCTGCTTGGGGAAATCTGAAGTACGTTCTGTAATTTAAGTTCAGTAGGATATAGAGTAGTTTGTGACTTGCTGTTTTTCAAAACATTTCCTTTAAAAATCATTACTATTTATGGAGTCAAGTAGCCACTTACGTCACTAGCAATAGCTCTTGAAGCCTTGGCAGCTTGAATTGGGATGGCATCAAGACGCAAGTCATAGCCATCTTTTTTTGCTTCCTCCATGGCTAGTCGGTACAATTTCTGTAAAAAAAAAAAAAGAAGAAAATGTTAGTCTCAGTGCTACAAACAGAAATAAAGAAAACATTTTATACTTAGCAGAAATATAATTCTTGATTGTTCTATACTGTATAGATGGAAGTTCTTCGGTGCAACTCAGGAACTGAATCTTCACAGAACTCAATTAGGACCCCAGACCCTGCAGGAAATGTTGCCATTGCCTGCAAATCCTTGAAGGAGACCCAGTTCTTCTAGTGGCTTTTATTAGTTTGTATACTCACCTGGCTATAGTTTAACTTATTGAATTTTGCTAGGACGATTTCTGGCGTATCAGGCATCACATGGATTGTGCGTTTATCAGTATCCCACGCTTCCGTATACATCCTCTGCAGAACAGAATCAGAAAGAGAGTTAGTACAAAGTGATGGCTGTTTACGAATAGACCTCCATTCATCCAGCTGTTGCAGCATAGAAACTGCTTTCTGAGATCAAATTAAAAATCTAGTGAACAGGAAAGACACTACTCAGAGCAAGTATAATATATTAATGTTTAGGACTCATATTCCAGAGGAAAATCCAGATACAAAATGTTGTTCAGTCAGGACTGTGTGTGAAGTTTAACATTTGTTTTACTTCAGTTTTATCCTTCTTTTAGATTTGTTAGATAAGACAGGTCTGAGGGGGCCCTTGGTTTTCACCTAATTAAAAGTGAAAGCTTTTCCCTCAGTCACATGGCCCAATCAATGCAGCTTCCGCTGGTCTGGTGACATCACTCCTCTTTCCTCCAGCCAGGTGTGAGAACATCCTTGGTTCCCAAGAAAAAGTATTTTATTTTGACTACACAACCCCGGCTATCACTAATCCCTCCTCCCTATCCCTCAGCTCCAGTGTATCAGCACTGAAGCTCCAAGATGGCTTTGGCCAGGTCAGTTTCAGGCTTGACAACAGGTGTCAATCCCACTTTGTTCCAAATCCCTGGTTTCTTACAACTCATCAAATTTGTAAATATAATTCCTAAAAGTACCAGTGTGGAATTACTGAAATTCTCATTCAAGCAAATGTAGAAGGCATCAATTTATGGAAAGACAGTTTAAAATTCTGTGCAGCAGAAATCTATATGAAGATCATAATAATCTGTGGATGGTATATGATATAAACAAGCAAGAATTAGTATTGATATCTTAAGGTCCACATGACTTCATTTAAAAGTTTATAGGAATCTCAAACATGTATATGGATAATAAGATGGTCAGAATAGAAATGTAGTAATAGTAATAATAAAAATAAAAATAATAAAAATAAATAAATAAAATGGAAATCACTGGGACTTGAAAAAAGATTTACATTAATTCTGATCTTTTGAATTTTATTTGGAATCTTTCAATAACTATAATAAGATAAGGTTGTTTTATTAACTGAAAGAAAAATTCTCATATTTCTAATACAAAGCACCCAATACTTCAATTATGAAGTTTAAAACATAATTTTTAAATCTTTGCAAAATGGGAATCATTGGGTCTGAAAAGAATCTTGGACAAATTGCATTATTTTTTCAAATATTATTCAGCAAGCCAGTCTTTATTAGCTGATATTCACCTTGTTCATGGTTTCAGCATTATGCCTGGCCAATTCCATTTCTAGAGAATCTGTCACACTGGTGAATTTGAAATTCTCTGGAGGCTGGCGGTACATCTTTTCACTCAGGATCTCTCCTGCTTTCTTAGCACGCTCAACATCCAGTGAACCAATAGGGACCCAGCCGATGCCTTTTATCCACTCAAGATCTGTTTTGTAGCAATTCTGCGAATTAAAATTTCATTAGAAAGGTAATCTCGTAATTTTTGGAAAAACAATTAGATCTAATGACACTTATGGCACATTATATTCATGTTGATGAAAGAAATGTAAAAAATAACATCCTTGAAACCATGAAAATATCCAAGTCATGCCCCTGTGAGTCCTAATCTCAGCCTCTTTGATATAAAACATGTGAACATATGGAAAAAAAAATACTATTACTATGGATTAAAACAAAAACAAAACTTCAGAAGACACTAATAATATTTGTTTCACAATTTTCCAGAGTTTTGTATAATTCTCTAATATACACTATTACGCTTACAGAAAGAGATAAGGCCATGAAGCAATAGCGCAACCTAGGTTTTATTTGCTGATTCATGCATCTGCTTGAGTTAAACAATTATACGCTACTACTATCAATACTTTGTATTGTATGTGCATGTGGCAGAAATGCATCTATAGTTTCCTCTCTCTCAACTGATATGATCAAAGATGAAATTATACTCACATCACTCTGTAATTCATAAGCCTTCCTGGCATGAATGACATCATTTTGATCTGGGAGGCATGTCCACTGGTGCAAATAATTACGGTAATCAACATCACTGACCAATTTCTGGCAATTCTTTGCCCCCAAGATTGACAGCATATCCACAGGACTGCTATATTTGGTCTTCAGTTTCTCAAAGACTTTCTTATATTCTCTCTCACTCTGCATCTTGGCTACATTTATAGAATGCAACATTTTAGGATCGTCTTCTATACTACGAGCTCCAATGTGGTGGCCAAGTTGCTTGCGATAACCTTCTTTGTATTTGTACTGAAATAAACACATATATTTTAATCACAGATTAAATACTACCTGGATTGCATTATTGTTAAGCATTTTTTTAAAGGGAGATCCCATTATCATTTTAAATAATTTTGTGAATCCTTTTCATTGACTTGAAACGAAACTCTATTAGCAAATGGAACCTCTCAGTCATGTTTAATTCATAGTTGAAGGACTAATTTAACATGGTTTTTTTTTAGGTATTTGTTGTTTAAAAATCTCCATTTTAATAAGAATTTATTTGATCATAATCCATAATCAAGATTTTATATTTCATTCTTTTACCATAATATAAATGATATAAACATAGTATACTATATTAAATGCATATGCTTCCTGACTTCCAGAAACTCTAAGGGGTTTTCAATTGTTAAAACATTTTAATGGCTGGGAACAATACAAAGAAACAGAAGACAAGCACAAGACAAAGGACAAAAATGGCAAAGAAAATAAACCCAGAGGAGAACAAAAAGAAAGGGGCATCCTCCTCTCCTCTCCAAAAGCCTAGTGAAAAACCAAGTCTTTAAGGCCCTCCAAAATATAGTAGAGTTGGGGCTGTTCAATTGTCAGGGGAATCATATTCCAGAGGGTAGGTACTGTTTCTAGGATCCCGATAAGTGGCATTGCTAAATCAATGGAACCTGGAGTGCACCAGCCCTACCAAATAAAACTGGTTGGACAGATACTATGGGAGTCAAGTAACCAGACTCTATGCCATCTATGGCTTTATAGATAGCAACCAGCTCTTAAATTGCACCAAGTGATTTGCTGTTTTTCAAAAGGTTTACTTTAAAAACCACTGATATTTATGGAGCCAAGTAGCTATTTTTCAAAACATTTTCTTTAAAAACCATTATTATTTATGGACTCGGGTAGCCACTTACATCACTGGCAATAGCTCTTGAAGCCTTGGCAGCTTGAATTGGGATGGCATCAAGACGCAGATCATAGCCATCCTTCTTTGCTTCCTCCATGGCCAATCGGTACAATTTCTGGGAAGGAGAAAAATGTTTGGTTTTATGCTATGCTCTGTTGTTGTTTTTTCTGCTACACTTGCAAATAAAGAGAACATCATATCCCTTAGCAGATATGTTAGATGGAAGTTCTGGTGCAAATTGGAAACTGGATCCCCACACAATCCAATTAGACCCCAGACCCTGAAGTAAACATTGCCATTGCTTGTAAATATTGAAGGAGACCCAGTCTTCCAGTTGCTCTTATCTTATTCATCCTTATACTCACCTGGCTATAGTTCAATTTGTTGAACTTTGCTAGAACAATTTCCGGTGTATCAGGCATGACATGGATTGTGCGTTTATCAGTATCCCAAGCTCCAGTATACAGCCTCTGCAGAACAGAATCGGAAAGAGAGTAAACCCAAAGTGATAGCTGCTGTTTATTAGTCTTCTAGTAATCTATGTCTTATGACAGAGGTTTACCTTTGCAATTAAATTAAAAAGTTTGCTAAGAATGAAATTTATTATTCTGTCACCGTACCTTGTGTAATTTTGTAGGAAAATAAGACTGAGTCTTATATTAGTTTTTCCTCTAAAAGATTCATTAGGGCTTATTTTCCAGTTAGGTCTTATTTTCAGGGAAATATAGTAAGTGAGTCAGCCTGGCTGATGATCTTAACGGGCTTATTTTGGGGGTAGGGTTTAAATTACGAGCATCCTGAAGAATCATGCTAGGCCTTATTTTCAGGGAAACACAGTATTATATTAGATTGTCTTATCCCTGAGATTTACAAATTAATTTCACAATTAATATCCTGGCTGGAAATTCTGGAAATTGTCATCCAAGCAAAATAGGAAGTTAACAATCCCAAGAAGAGGCTCAAAGATTCTTTGCACCAGAAGACTATATAAAACTCATTACTATCTTATGATTCATGTGCAATGTAAACTACTTTGTCCAGCAAGAATTAATACATTTATAGCCATATTATTTTATTTATCTAATTACAGAATGGAAATCTGTGATGATGGGAAAAACTTGAGGACAATACTGACTTTCTGCATTATATTTAGAATCACACCAAATATTATTTGCTATGATTAAACAAGCTAATTTATCAGTTGCATAGCCAGAATTCACCTTGTTCATGGTTTCAGCATTATGCCTGGCCAATTCCATTTCTAGAGAATCTGTCACACTGGTAAATTTGAAATTCTCTGGAGGCTGGCGGTACATCTTTTCACTCAGGATCTCTCCTGCTTTCTTAGCACGCTCAACATCCAGTGAACCAATAGGGACCCAGCCGATGCCTTTTATCCACTCAAGATCTGTTTTGTAGCAATTCTGCGAATTAAAATTTCATTAGAAAGGCAATCTCGTAATTTTTGGAAAAACAATTCGATCTAATGACATATATGACACATTATATTCATGTTGATGAAAGAAATGTAAAACAAAATAAAAACCTTGAATACCCTGAAAAAGGTCCAAGGTCCAATTCATTTCCAGGAGATTCCTAATTTTATCCAATAAAATAATGTCCCGTTTTAGATAAAACTCAAGCAGATGCCCCATGAGTATGTGAAGAACATTGTCCTTTGGGACAGAACAACATATAAAGTCCAGAAGACACCAATAACACTTGTTTCATTGTTTAGAGTCATGTTTAACGCTCTAATGTGGACCTTCAGAAAGGGAAAAGACCCTGGAGTAATAGAGCAGACTGGATAAAGAGTCATCTCAGTTCATCCATATAACAACATGGATTAAACAATTAAACACCACTTCTATCCATATTTTGTACATGCATGTGGCACAAATGTGCCAGAGACAGTGTAATTGCCCCACTTTCAACTAGTATAAGACAAAATTATACTTACATCACTCTGCAAATCATAAGCTTTCCTAGCATGGATGACATCATTCTGATCTGGTAGACATGTCCACTGGTGCAAGTAGTTGCGATAATCAATATCACTGACTAGTTTCTGGCAATTCTTGGCCCCCAAGACTGACAGCATATCCACAGGACTGCTATATTTGGTCTTCAGTTTCTCAAAGACTTTCTTGTATTCCCTCTCACTTTGCATCTTGGCTACATTTATACAATGCATAATTTTAGGATCATCTTCTATGCTACGAGCTCCAATGTGATGGCCCAGTTGTTTGCGATAACCTTCTTTGTATTTGTACTGAAATAAATGTACAAGCATACAGTAAGACATATCTTTATGTTTCTTTTTCGTGCCCGAACTATAGCAAAGTTAAAATTTGCAAAGTTAAACTATGCAACACTATTGCCAATTTTAACTCCTTGAAGAACTTCAACTGACACTTTATAATCAAATATTAAAAGATAATTCAAATTAAAGTATATAATCCTATGTCTACTAGCAGGAAATGCTGCCTTTTTTGCCTGGAGTTAAAATCTGTTCCATTTGCCTGAGAAGCTAATTCTACAGCTCTGTAGGAACTATAGTTTGTTTCACTAACCAAGAAAATGTAGCATCTAATACTTTCCAAAACTAGCATGAAGTAACATAACTCCTGTTCCTTTGGAGAAGCTTTCCATTTTTTAAAATCTGTGACCAATCTGTTTGATAAGCTCTATTAAGACATTCAGGTGGTTGAGTTTAGCTGCTCCATTTAGTCTGGCTGCTGCTCCAGAGTTCATATCAGAGAAAGTGTTCTGTTAATTGCAATACTCTCTGATTTTAAGTTTTGAACAGCAGGTTTATTTTAAGTTCTCCAGGGTAGGAAATTCATTTTGTTTTAAAACAAAAACTACCGATGAATTCATTTTCTTCCCACAGAAATAAAAACTTACATCACTAGCAATAATTCTGGATGCCTTGGCAGACTGAATTGGAATTGCATCAATTCGTAAGTCGTACCCTTTCTTCTTTGCCTCTTCCAAGGAAAGCTTATATAAACTCTTTTTAAAAAAGAGAAAAAGAAAATATTAATAGGTACAGTTTTTACCTATTGGTAAACAATGCCATAACAGAGGTAAACAGGCTGAATCTTACAATCAAACAGTCTAACAGTCTTTACTAAATAACTTCTTTAAAGTTATTTTAGTAAAAAGGGGAAACAGCAATGTTTAGTTCAGATATAAAACATCCAAGAATGTCATCAGTCTCCTTACCTGTACATTAGATATTACAACTTGACAGTAAGTTTTGAGAGTGAGGTTCATGCCCATAGCTTTAGTAGATCCTACGCTATACAGCCCCTTTTAGACTACTAGTGAGAAAAATGCTGGAGCTACGACAAGGATTCCCACAGACTTCTCTCTTTTACCCCATTGCATCTGTCCTTTGTTACTATCCTTTCTCCCTCTTCCCTCAGTCCTGTACCCTATTTGCAGCTGATGATCAGCTCTTCCTCAGCGATCAGTTATCCTCTCCCAGAGAACCCTCTTCATATGGAGGGTGCACATCCTAACGAGAATGTTTGATAGAGCTTCAAACCAGTGACCTCACCTCACTGTAGTTGATCTTGTTCTGTCTTGCTAAAGTGATTTCGGGGGTATCAGGCATTATGTGAATTTGCGTCTTGTCTTTATCCCAAGCTTCAGTGTACAAACGCTGTGAAAAGAGGACAAGGAAGAAAGTAAAACGGGTATTGGAATGAAATCAACTTGGGTCCTTCTCTAATCCCATTGTATCGCTCTTAAAGCTCAAGTAGAAATACCATTACCAAGCAGGGCTTCCCAGAGGATGTAAAAAAAAAAAAAATCAAGATGGCAGCCTCAATGTGCAATCAAAATCCTGCCTCTTTTTGTATATATTCCATGACCAATGCAATGTCTGAAACACTGAAGGCAACTTCAGGTTGCCTTCAGAAATTGTAGGCGTTTCATCACTGGAGGCTTTCAAGATGAGACTGGACAGCCACTTGTCAGAAATGGTATAGAGTCTCCTGCTTGAGTAGGGGGTTGGGCTAGATGACCTACAAGGTCCCTTCCAATTCTGTTATTCTAAATTCTAGGTTCTAATGCATACAAAAAAGGCAAATGTGCAGTTGCAGCTGTCATCTTTCACACATCTTTCATCCCATTCTACAGTTCTGTGTTGATAATTAATGCAGTTTACATCAGAAAGCACTCCTTAGTTCTAAAGTATATCAAAGAAAAATGAGGCAGTAGATTATTGATTTTACAAAGATATTAACAACATCATGGTTTTGTATTTAACAAATGCTGTACCTGTCGGATTTCATACGTCTTGAAAAATGATACTTCTTTAAGACTAGTTTGATGTATTTGCAGTGTTGCTTAAATAGAAGCTTTGCAGGTTTTTAATAAGGACTTCAATAAATCATTCTTTTAATTCTATTGGCTAGTATCAAACAAAAGAATCCTAAGATCCAAAGGATGCTTTATGTTCAAAAACATTTTTTATAGAAAAACAATGGCAATTAATATGTACATGTGAATTATATGCATATTATTTAATTATATACAGTTAAATGAAGTATTACAAATAATATTTATATTAAACAAAAAGCCAGTACAAAGTTTAAAACTGCCATATTAATTATTACATTCAATCTCTTAAGCTTCTTGTACAAATGTTATTTTAATACTAAAGTTATATATCTAAAACAAACCCCCAGTGCTCACCTTATTCATATTTTCTGCATTATGCTTGGCCAAAAGTATTTCTAGAGAATCTGTCACACTTGTAAACTTGAATCGGTCTGGAGGCTGACGATACAACTTTTCGCTTAGGATCTCTCCAGCTTTCTTGGCTTTTTCATTATCCAAGGAACCAATTGGGACCCACCCAATACCTTTCAACCATTGAAGATCAGACTTGTAGTAATTCTGTGAAGCAGAACATTGAAAAGGGCACTTAGTCAGAAGTGAAGGCCTAACAGTCCAAAGTTTTATCTATTGCACCAGGTTCACGTGCCTTATAGTTTTTATGGTCCTCAATTAAGTGCTTTAATCATTGGATTTTATTTCTTCTCTTTTAAGACAGTTTATGAATCGAAACTCATTATTGTGTGTATTAACACAACAGCTGTCTTTATGCTTCCTTTAAAATATATCCCATCACCTCCCCACACCCTTGTAATCACAGTTGTCTTCAATATGAGTATCTTTTCCCATCACCTAACATCACCATTTAAAATAAAATGCTAAATCATCAACTCTTGCTTTAGCAAATGCCAGAGATAAGGGTCCATATTAAGAAAACAAAAACCAATAATTTCTGGGTTTAGTTTTTTTCAGCTTAGCTAAAAACATTTTCCCAATTTCTTTTTTTACAAACCCAAGAAGAATGGCTAAATTAGATATTACAATATTGTCACAATTACAAGTTTCTAATAACACTCCATTTAGGCATTTATCAAACTAAACTTGTTTTAGACTTGTGATCCCCAACTGTTTTAGGCGATGTTCAGATTTGAAACATTAAGACAAGGTTGTGATCACACACGATTACTACTGTGAATGTCTTTTGACATCAAAGCAAAAGAAAATTGCCACAACAGAAAAATTCCATCCCTTAAATTACAAATTGATCAGATACTCTGAAGCATTTTTTAGAAAGCATGATTTGCTCTCCACTAGCTTCTCATTATTTTTTAACTTAAATAATGTGTTTTTAGTTAAAAAAATATTAAAAGAATCAGGGAACCTTGCAGCATATGCCAGGTGTCATGTTGGGGGTCCCAGTTAGACTCTTCCATATTTATATATGGAAGATTTTAAAAAAAGGTAAATGATATCCCTGCCAGCCATATCCAACTCTAGGGGGTGATGCTCATCTCCAATTTATAGCAGAAGAGCCAATATTGTCTGAAGATGCTTCCATTGTCATATGGCTGGCATGAATATACACTGAAGGCACTGTTACCTTCCCACCGATGTGGTGCCTGTTTGTTTGTTTGCATTTACATGCTTTTGAACCGCTAACTTGGTAGGATGTAGGAAGTAATAGAAGTTCATTTCTTCATGCAATACTTAGTCTTGAACTTCCAACCTTCCAGTCAATAAGCCCAGCACTTGGATATTGCACACCCTTATTCTAACATTAAGGTTCTATTAATTTTCTGACTTCAACTTAAGTAATATCAAAAGTCAATGAAGGGACAGAATTTTGGAAGTACAAATATTACTGAGTGTTTCTTCAAATATTTTTAGAAATATTTTCCAAGCTGAACATATTTTAATGAACCAAATCTTGTTAACTTTTTCCAAAACTCAAGAAATTTATTCTCAGAGATAAGTTTCAGTGAAGTTAAAATCCATCACAACTTACGTCACTTTGTAGTTCATAGGCCTTCCTGGCATGGATGACATCATTTTGATCTGGGAGGCATGTCCACTGGTGCAAATAATTACGGTAATCAATATCGCTGACCAGCTTCTGGCAATTCTTTGCCCCCAAGACTGACAGCATATCCACAGGACTGATGTACTTGGTCTTCAGCTTCTCAAAAACTTTCTTGTATTCCCTCTCACTCTGCATCTTGGCCACATTCATAGAATGCAACATTTTAGGATCATCTTCTATACTGCGAGCTCCAATATGATGGCCGAGTTGCTTGCGATAACCTT